TTCGAGGCGTGCATTTTTTAGGCATATTTCCAGGACTGAGTGCGCATAAACTCACCACTCACAACAAGTTGCAAGTGTGTTCCAGTGGTGAGTGATGACTCGTGAGTTGTGTATTGCTTACGCAGCCAATGCCATCTTTGCGACGCTCAAAAATGCCCAATAAAGACGCTTGAGGCAAGTGTTGAGTGATATGAGTTCATATCACACAATTGTGAACTCGGCATTTGACGGTTACAACATTAAAAAATCGCTTTTTTCTTTCACCTCACTATATATATCCTCCATGTTTCCCGTGGCCTACCCCTGCCCGTGCTCTCTTTGGGTTCCACCGCAGCGACTGTCTTGTTATGTTTCAGCTGGCCTACCTGAAGGTGTGTCCCATTGATCGCCACCTTCTTAGTCCTATTTCTGCTTTTATATCCTTTTGTCCTATCCTTTCCCAAAGCTCTTCATTTCTTATTCTATCCTTCCACTTCATTCTTAGGATACTCGTCATACATCTGTTGATGAAAGTCTGGACTATGTATATATATATATATATATATATATATATATATATATATATATATATATATATATATACATATATATATATATATATATGCATATATATATGTATATATTATATATATATACATGCCTTTATGTGTGTGAGCTTGTGTGAATGTGTGTGTGTATGTGTGTGTGTTTATGTGTGTGTTCTCAGTAAAAAATACCAAGGTACCCTATAACGCATTTTCGGAAACTGCATTCTATTGTACTTTTTAATAGAAAAAAATATTTCTGAACAACATGCGTTTTGAAATTTTAAAGACAACTTTAGAAATTTAAGAGATCTGGTGAATTTTGGCAGATAGGGTGCAGATACGCAGTTTGTGAGAAAGATGACTTTCAAATTCACCTTAAATTTGTCACGAATTCTACTCCAAATGAATATCGATTGATCAGCAAGCTGTATTGTTTGTCTCCAAATTCTTTGACAACACCGTCACTATTCAAAGGGCAACTTTAAAAAAAAAACAGCTTGAGACAACTGAACCATTTCAATGTACCATTAAAACGTTTAAAAAAAATTACAGTCAAGTAGGACTGGAAATTAATTTGCAAAATTGCTTCACTTTGTCCACAAAGTGTGGGAGGGTTAAGAGAAAGATGCAACATTAGATTTCAGAATCAAATTTGATTTGTTCATGTTAGACCTATCTTCCTCTGCTCAATAGAGTCAAAAGGAGGATACCCTCTATACTGTTCCAAGACGAAAGAGGATTTCTTTGCCACCGATAATTTGCCAAAATGTTGGGTTCAGTCTATGTTCCGATGCCGCTTTGTTTTGTTTTAGTAAGGTTTAACGGCGCTCGCAGCTGCACAAGGTAATATGAGCGCCAAGGGGTGGGTTTCAGCAGAGAAATCCAAACGGGGAATCAAACTTACTCTGCTAACCTTTCTGGCCCAATCAGCACAAATCTGCTTCGACTATCAAGGAACCCAGGAAAGAGCAGCTCACAAGAGAGTGACAAACATATAAAAAAAGTAGAGGAAAAATGACGATAGTAAAGATGAGGAAAGAAAAAGCAGCAGTTCCCACTATGTTGTTCACGCACAGTATGAGCATGACATTCATGAATCAGCACATTTTGGGAATAGCCTAAATACACTTCAGTCAGAAGCATTGCCTGCGGGGGGGTGGGGGGGGGGGGGTTACGTTTGTTGATGTTAACCAACGTTATCAGGTCAAAAGTTGACGATAAGTTGTGAGGTTTGTCATTAAGAGGAAAGGGAGATTTGATGCGAGAGAGAGAGAGAGAGAGAGAGAGAGGGGAGGGGGGGAGCAGAAAGAGAGAGAGAGTGGAAGAGAGTTCTTTTCTTTTTATCGGAGATTATTTTCTGTAAGTTAATAAAACAAATATTTCCTAATTGAACATATAATTTCTCTCTCATTCTTTCTCTATTTCTCTCCTCTCTCTCTTTGTTCATCTCTCTCTCTCTCTCTCTCTCTCTCTCTCTCTCTCTCTCTCTCTCTCTCTCCCTCTGTCCCTCTGACTCTCGTTATCTCCCTGGGGGTCTCGTGGCCTAGAGGTTAAGGTGTTGGCCTCTCATTCAAAGGTCCCGGGTTCGAATCCGGGTAGCGACCAAAAAAAATTCTTCTCTAAAATTGCCTCCTTTCACCTCCTTTCCTGCTCTCTAACAATGTTCTGTTGCTTGCTTTCATTTCCACTTTCTGCCCCCACCCCTTCACCTCCTTTGCCCCCTCCTCTGGGCTCCTGACTCTTTCTGCCGCCTTTCTACTGCTACTCCTTGGCTCCTCCTTACTGCTGTCTTTCTGCCACAACCCTGATCTTCTGGTAGGAAAGATCTACATCTAGCCTTCTCGGACAAGGGCGAAAAATTTCGGAGGGCCCGTGTGCAAGTTGCGCACGTTAAAGATCCCATGGTGGTCTAAATTCGATAAGAGTAGGCTTCGGTCGCCATCCCGGCAAAATTCAAAATTTCCTGTAAACTGAAAATATTAGGTGTGTCCCGTGCGCTCATATAACCTTATGCAGTTGCGAGCGTCGTAAAAACACTAACAAACAAAAAAAAGTTATCTCCCTAACATAAACATCAACTCGTATTATCCCGAGTATCCCTACCATCTTCAAAATCAATATTGACCTCATCTCCTAGACATGCACGTATCAATTGCAATCTCTGTTCTAAACCGTTTTGTTAGTAACACAGATGTCACAAAGAGTATGAGTGCAAATAGTTAGCTCTGTCACGCGCTTCTTTCTATACTTATCAGATGGCGTCAATTTGATAGGACAGGCAAGGATCATAGGTGTCAGTACACACCTACCTGACAATGGGTTAGTTATCTGTGTCATGCGCACCTTTTGATACTTATCGGATGGCCTCAATTTGTTAGAAGTGGGCAAGGGGCAAGTAGCACGTATCACCAATAAAAAACACATTGATAGCATTGTGTTGGCTTAAACAATGAAGAGATGAACTGTCCGTTTGAGTCCATAGTGGTGTTTGGAAAAGATAGAAGGGATCCAAACTGATAAATGATGGTGTTGGCTCTTTAAGTTTGTATTTTTATTTCTCCACCTACTGACCCGTTTTCTTTTCTGTATAATCCTAAACAGATTGTTGTACTATTTTACCTGTTTCAGTGGTTTGTTACTAACAAAATGACACGAATGTTTAGGGAACTATGATTTCCACTGATTTCCATGACATTTTTATTTGTTTATTCTCATGCCAAATGTTTCACAGATGTTGTCAAGTTCGGTGGTATGAATTTGGATTTTGTTTTGTTTTGGGTTAATAACGCATTGGTCGTTCAAAACAGAAACACAGGTTTGGGTTTTGTGGTACGGTGTTGAAGTAATAGCCCGTTTATTTCTTACGTTTTGTACACCTATTTCATTGGAAGTGCATTATGTAGCATTGTTTCTGTTCTCTTTGTATATGGTTGGAGTGTTACGCTGGAAGGTTCTACTTATTTACTTGTTTTCTTCTTTTCTTTCATTTGTAGTCCACAGAAAAAAAAATATTGCAATGCTTTGCTGGCTAATATACCAGGTACCACTCTTCACAAAGTACAACGTTTTCAAAATCATGCTGCTAGGTTTGTGCAAAAGAAAAAGAAGAGGGATCACACTACTCCAATGTTAAGAACGTTGCATTGGCTCTCCGTGTCAGTTAGAATGTCATATAAACTTGCAAAACTATGCCATAAATGTTTCAATAACAAATCTCCCTCATACCTCAGTGATCTATTAAGATTGGTGTTCCATCTAGATCACTAAGATCAGGCGATCAGTATCTTTTACGAGTTCCTAGCAAAGGAGGTAAAACAGATTAGCTGAACGATTGTTTGCCCAACTTGCTCCATCAGTTTGGAACGCTCTTTCCCAACCCTTGAGACATACAACATTTGAGTCTAATCAATTTTAAATATCTCTAAAGACACATTTCATTACATCATTTTTATGTCAGTAAACTCATGCTCAGTACAATGTTATGTAAATGATTATGTATCCGTATACGTATTTATTTTGTGAATTACATCGTGTATATTTTTTTATCATGCATTTGTATGTGCTCATTTCGTAACGATGTGTAAGCGTGCGCGTGTAATAAGCAAGTAGATGTGTGTGTGTGTGTGTGTGTGTGTGTGTGTGTGTGTGTGTGTGTGTGTGTGTGTGAATATTGTTTGTACATGCATTGATGTAAAGCGCCTAGAGCTGTGTTCACACTGGAGTGGGCACTTTAGAAATGATTTACATTATTATTATTATTATTATTATTATTATTATTATTATTATTATTATTATTATTATTATTATTATTATTATTATTATTTTTATTATTATTATTATTATTATTATTATTATTATTATTATTATTATTATTATTTTTATTATTATTATTATTATTATTATTATTATTATTATTATTATTATTATTATTATTATTATAATAATAAGAAAATATTTTTGCGTTACACAACAAATACAGTATAGTAGACATACGAAAAGTCGAGGGATGAAGTGACAATTTATTACATCCCGTGGCATGATTACCTATGTGAACCTATCTCAAAATATAGAAGATCATTTTTTTGATTGAATGCATTACTACTTCACAAGACTGCATGTTGTATTTGTTACCAAGTAGTGTGTCTGACTTATACTACAAATTGAGCAAAACCAAAGGAAAAACAACTGCAACAAAACAGGAAACAAAAATAAACCTAAGAGAGCGAAATGATTAATTTTTTTAAATGCATGAATTAAGGTACCGACAGTCTAAAAACATATTGGCCCATGGAAAGGGCAATACTCGTTTATCGTTATATAAAGTAAAAAAATTACCAAGAATAAATAAAATGCAAAAAAAGAAGTTAAGTAAGTCATTATGAAGAAAATCAATCATTGTGTTCCAAAAACAACGAGGTTTTAAGATTTGAAACCAACATTTCACAAAACAGAAAACTTAACAACTGCTTGAAAATCAACCATAATGTGGATTGTTACTTCAAAGAATAATTTTATTCAAAAGTAAAATTAACAAAAATCATAAAGCCAACGTATTGAAATGTGCACAAATATTACAGCATCTTGAAAAAAGTAATAAAACAGTTATCGTGCCAAATTTAATAACATATTAGTTGACTCCAGTAGGATAATTCGCATCAGTAGCAATACCGCACTGGTTGTCCTTGTTCCTGCTCATCAAAATGTAACCGTCCATGCCCCATGAAGTGGTCCAGCTGAAAAAAAAAAAAGATTTATGTTATTACAATATTAAGAAACATAGCTAGAGTGCAGTCAAGAAATTCGTGCGCAACGTTTCCTCAAATATCTTTTTAACGGCTGAATCTATGTCATCTAAACTTTGCACATCAGTTTGTATCCATTTGTCTCAACTACATCATACTTTCCTACAACAATTGAGGCTATATTTTTTAAAAACCCAAACACTTTTCTTCTCAAATCTATATACGATAGTAGAAATCTCCGCCATGCTTTAAATGGGATTGTTCACTGCACTTGTCCGCTTCTCACACACATTTTGCATATGTGTATGGTCTATGTCACAACTCACCAATTACACTTTTTAGTGGAAAAAGAACTCAATTTTATGATGAACACATTTTTCGCGCTAGAGGTTCTCAAAACATGCGTTCAATTAGCATAATGTTGCGTTTTAAAAAAACCCAGGACAGACTTTTAAAAGTGATTTTGCCCTGTAAACCCTTTAAAATCTGTAAAAAACACTCACTAGGATTTTTTACAAGTATTTATTAAGGATTTTTTTTAGAATACAGCTAACAGGGCTTTTTTCCCAAAATGTTGCTCTTTTAAGATAAACTGATACACCTCATTGTGCAAAAGTTGGAGCACATATGTTCCAACGTTGAGGAGATGTTTGACAATAAGTTGCACCACGAATTTTTGACCGCACTACAGTACAGTGACGCATACATTTTTAAGTGTAATCCTATTAGGGAACTATCGATGAGGTAAGAGGAAACATCTCTAATTCCCCATTACTTTGTTATAGACCAGCAGAAAAGAGATGTGTGTGTGTGTGTGTGTGTGTGTGTGTGTGTGTGTATGTGTGTGTCTGTATGTGTGTGCTTTTGTGAGTGTGCTTGCGAGGAAGA